AGGTGACAACACCCCAAAAACCCCTTTTTGGGGACGAGAGGTGACATCCAGGAGCCTCTGTGGTGTCGCCATCTCCTCCAGGACGGGTGTGGGGTTCAGGAGCGGCTCCCCGGGGATCCTCCCGGCCCCGATGTCCTGGAAAAGACCCCAAAAATCTCCCCAAAAACCCCCCCCAAGGACTTGCCTTGCTCATGGTGGCGATGTCCCCCGGGTGGGCACGGGTGGCACCGGTGCCACCGCGGTGTCCTCTTATAGCCCAGCCCTTGTGAAATGTCCCCGTCCTGTCCCCCGAGGTTGCTCAAGGCTCCGGGAAGTTCCCCCCTCCTCACCCAAAAAATTAAAAAAAAAAAGGGATCTGTGGCTTTTCCCGCAAGTTTGGGGTGTCACAGGTGGGGGTGGCTTTGTCCCCTGTCCCCTGTCCCCTCCCCCAGCTCTCATTAAATTCCGCTTTCTTTTGGGATTTTTCCCAAATCCCCCCAATTTTCAGCTCCTTCCCAGGGCTGGTTCCCTGTGCCCGGGGGGTGAAAACACCCAGAGCCTGCCCAGCTCCACCGAGCCCCGAAATGTCCCCAAAATGTCCCCAAAATATCCCCAAAATGTCCCCAAAATGTCCCCTAGCAGGTGGCTGGAAGTGCTGCTGAACTTTCTGTCATTTTTAATAAAATGTAATAAACAACCAAGCCCGGACACAAAAAAATCCGTTTGCTCTGAGCAAAAGCAGAAGAGAACGAGACAAACCAAAAAATGACATGGTGCAAGAATTTCTATTTCTATTCTATTTTTATTTCTATTTTAATTCTCTTTCTATTTCATTTTTATTTCTATTTTAATTCTATTTCTATTTTTTTATTATTTTTTATTTCTGTCCTCGCTTTGCATGTGGTTTTTTTTGTGTGTGTGTTGTTTTTCCTCGGTGTGGCAGAGGCTCAGGTGTGGCTGGAAGGTGCAATTTTATTTTTATTTCTTTTTATTTCTTTTTATTTCCAGGGCTCTATCCTCCCTTTGTGGTTTGTTTTGTTTTGTTTTCTTGTTTTGTTCCTCGTTTTTTTTTTGTCTCTCAGCATGGCAG